TCTCTCTCTCTCTCTCTCTCTCTCTCTCAGCTTTTGAACTGACCGCCTCCTGCAAGAGAGCTTCGATGGGTCGATGTGTCGATGGGTTGGTTTGCAGTACGGGCTGGTGGTTCTGAATTGGTCCTGTGTACAAAGATCAACACGGGCCTGAGCGCCTGGCACCTGGCACCTGGCACCTGCGCCTGGCAGAGTGTTGGTGATGGCATAGTGCTGCTTTGGTGGAAAGCGATTTTCCTTGGCGCGGCTGCGCCTCCTCATCTACGGCGTTGAGGGGCCAGCAGAATGACCGACGCCCGAGGCTTGCCGCTACCAAAGCGTCGCTTGGCCGCCCGACAACTGCAGACTGCACCCGCGACGAACCTGCCATCACCTAGCGTGCAGGCCGCACTCTCCCTGGCCGGATCGTTGCCGAGCAGCCCTGCCAGAGCCAGTGCCAGCCTGCCCAAGCCGCGCCGTCAAAGCCATGCTGCAGATCCACCTGCTCAATTATCAGCACCAGCTGCTCCAGCTGCTGCCACCGTCGAACCCATGCCCTCAGCACCCATGCCCTCAGCACCCTTACTCCATGACAGAGATCCGAGACCAGCTGATCCCCCTTCTGGAAACCTGACGGGGCTCAAGGAACCCGCGCCTGCCACCGTGCTTGAAGAACAGGTGGCACCCGTTGTCGCCTCACCCCAGACAACGCCGGGGTCAGAAACCAATGTGTCTCCAGACACGTCAGTGGCAGCACCCAGCGTTGCTGATCCGCAGGCAACTGCGCACACAGACCGTGCCCCTTCTCGACCACCTGTGCCAAGTCGGTCGCCATCCCAGCAGCTGCGCACGAGCCCGACTCCAGCCCAAGACCCAGCCCCAGCCGAAACCCCTGCTACGGCTCCAGCTTCAAGTCCCGTTCGACCCAAGCCGCCAAATCGGCCCATGCCACCAAACCGCCCACCCTCTGCCAGCAAACCAGCGCCACCCCAGCGGCCACCTGCGCCTGCATTGAATGACCCACCCGCACCTGTTGCTGCGCCGCGCCGCCCACCCCGCCCCACCGGCCCCAGTCCGGGACCCAAGGTCACGCCCACACCCGCCTCTCGACCAAGTCGACCACCACAACCAACCGCCTCTGCTCCCGCCTCAATCTCTAAACCTGCCCCACCCAGCGCCGACGTACCAGACACGCGGCAACCAGAGGTGGCGCCCGAAACCCTTCCCTCACCCCGCCGCCCGGTACAAGTACCCAGCAGGCCACAACCGTCACCGAAGCGTCGCACACCTCCACCCCGGCCAACTGGTCCGTCTCGCACCCCTTCAAGCACTTCAGTCACTTCCCCCGTCGTGCTCGTTGAACATCAGGCTCCAGATCAGCCAGATTTGGTGGAATTGGATGACGATGCCTTTGAAGACTTTGTCGGCGACTTTGGCGCCGAAAGCGATAGTGACACCAACGAATATCACCCTGACCAAGACATCGTTAGCGCTCAAAAGGATGACAGCGGCAATCAACCGCAGACTCCAGGTGATGGTGGTGCCCCATCGACCAAAGTCAACGAGTTGAGCTCGGGCCTATCGCCGACCCCGAGTGAGCCCACCGATTGCACGTCTTTACGCGCAGATGAGTACTTGGAAATTGATGGCGCTGATGCGCACTCTCCAGCAAGTGAATCCACAGCCACCGGTGTTCTCGCCGAGCCAACACTCATGCCTGGCACAGCGCCGACATTGCAAGTTGCCAGTCCGCCGTCCCCGCCTCCCTTGCCGGTCCCCTTGACCCTTGCCAGTGCCACACCCGAGGATCGCGTGCCATCAGCCGTCGCTTCCCAAGCCGCTGCAGCGACAGCCCTATCACCACCAGCCACCTCCGTTTGCAGTTCTGATCAAAATGCCATCCCAGTCTCTCCGCCCCTTCCCCCTGCTCCTGCCATTGCTTCAGCGAGTGAGATGGTCGAGTCAGATGGCCCCCATCTGCCTCAAGCACGCGCCCAATTGCTGCAAGAAATTGCCCAGGGGTCTGGGCGACTACGCCGCGTCGTGCCAAGTGAGAGCGCAGAGCAAGCTCGCCCCAAGACATTTGATGATGATCTTCGCGCGGCCATGGCTAGCGTGCGCAAAAAGTAGGTCCTTGTTGTCAATGGCTGATCACCCACAAACGCGCAAACAAAATAAAGACTCTACCATGCACATTTGTGCTGTAGGCGCGTCGAGGCGGTGGGTGAGAATGAGGACAATGCTCTCCCACGGCTCGCGGCGTCTCTGCGTGCGTTTGAAGCACATGAGCGTCGCTTGAGTAGCCTCGAGGAGATGGAGCTGATCTTAGCCGAAGCTACCGCAGCCGAAGCACCTCTCCCTGATGGTCGTCATGTGCTGCGCAATCGCGTCGGCTGGCCCGACGTATTTGTGAGCGACATGGAAGATGTACAGCGCAAGATACAGATCATTCGAGCCCGCCGTGCGTACTTGAACTTGTTCCTGGCCCGCCTCGCTTGTTACGAGGGGATACGCTGCCATAGCTCACTCCCTGTTGTTCAAACGCGCGGACACACAGTGGAGCGCTTGACGACGCTAGCATCCGCGGCGCAGCAGAGCGGACGCTTGCCCACCAAAGAGGTTGAAGCCGCGGTTCAAGCGGTCGTGACACATTTAGACGACCTGACGCGCAATGCGACAATTTACCGGCAAGCACCGCTCCCGGCCCTTGGTGCCTCCTCATTTTGTTGCCCTTCCTTGTGAGCAGCATCGCCTCACCCTCTTGACTTGCCGCCTTTATTTGTTTTTTGTTTTTTTTGTTTTTGTTTTTTTGTTTTTGTTTTTTTGTTTTTTTTGTTTTTGTTTTTTTTTTGTTTTTGTTTTTGTTTTTGTTTTTTTTTTTTGGGGGGGGGGGGGGGGGGGCATTGGCGTTGGCGTGGCTGGCCGGTGCTGGCAGGGCGTCACTGGAACGTTTACCTCTGCCCGCTGATGCTTTGAGTGCCAGCATCATAGCCCCTTTCAAGGTAGACATGCGTGCAGGAGAGCTCGCGTTCACTCCCTTGCTCTTGTGGGATTTGCGGATAGAGAAACGCGTCAGGGTCATGCATCCATCTTTGCTCATCAGCGCGTGTTTTGACTCTTCGACACATAGGACACATTAAACATGATCATGCCAATTGCTTGGCAAAAGCTGAGCGAAGGCATGCACGCGCTGGACAACGTCTTTGTCAACAAATTTGACCGTGATGCCATGGTTGAAATTGCCTTCAATCGAACCCAGGCCTTCCTGCTCCTCTGTCAATTGCTCGAGCAACGACTGGTATGTTTCGCGAACGCTCAATCAAGTTTGCCCGCCTCCCCCACATACTGCTTCGCAAGTATGTTGAGATGTATGGACATTCTTTGCTTTGATACCGGCCATGGGGCACATGTGCTAGAATGACCCGACTTGGCTTGGCTCTGATGCCTATACGGAGGCCCAGGAGCACCTAGCGCGCTTGCGTGAACAGCACGGGCAAGTCATTGCCGTCCGCCAACGTGAAGGCGCCTGGGATCAGCAAGAGTCCCCATCCCTGCGCCAAGCCGAGCCTCAGCCGGTGTGTTTTGACCTCGGCCGGTCCTTTCGCAATGCAGCGTCATGTGCCACCCGAGCCCATTTCAGTTTGACTCATTTTGGTCGTACACACTGGGACAACAGGACCGACGTGACCCAAACTTGCAGGCAGCTGTGAATGCCTTGCAAAACTTCCAAGGCAATACCGATGACCTGCGTGCAGTCCTGGCGGTATGTGTCATTAATTTCCTCCGTGGCATTGCTTCAATCTGCATGCCTCTCTGTCTCTGTCTCTGTCTCTGTCTCTGTCTCTGTCTCTCTGTCTCTGTCTCTGTCTCTGTCTCTGTCTCTGTCTCTGTCTCTATCTGCGGCTACTTGCCTGCTGCTGTGTGCATGTTGTGCATGTTGTGCCGTGATGATGCGTGAAAGATTTCGAGTGCTTGGTTTGTGAAGCCGATGACTTGAGAAAACTTGGCGTCGCTTGGGCCATGGTGAATCTCTAGCCTTTGGCAACAAGGCAAGCGTCGGGCCAGCTACGCAAGCTGATGCGCGCTGCGCTTGAATCCGGCAAGCCACTGGCGCTTGAGACTTTGCTGACCAGCCAAGCCTGGCCCAGCGTGGATGTACACCCCTTACGAGACATGCACGTTTTGGCCGAAGTGGTGGCCATCGGCGCTGACTTTGCTGTACCGGTACGTTTCTCATCTTATCATCCGGCAACAAAGGATTTCATGTCTTTTCCGAAATAGCTCTGACAGCGCCTGCCTCCTCGTTTCTCTGCCCGGGTGGCCGACAGATCTTGGTGCAGCACGGTGTCGATGTAAATGCTGCCAGTCACGACACTGCTACGACAGCTATGCATCTTGCTGCTCGCAATAATTCCCGCCGGGTAAGTTCTGCCTTCCAGACCTGCGCACCACAAGGGCTGCCGCTCGGTATCAAGTTCGCTGTGGTAGGCATTTTCGGTTTGACTTGTTTTCCCAGCATGCTGACCTTGCATCTTGGCTATTACCTGCAAATGCCTCGATCCCAGCTCGTTGCTGCCTTGATGGAGCATGGAGGTCTGCCGTGCGTCCGCGACGCTCATGGATTGTAAGTCATGTGTTGTTACCCACGCGCTCACCTCGGGGGGTGTTTCAGAGCAGACGGTTTGGCTGTCGTGACTTTGATTCACTGTCGTTGGGTGACTGGATCTTGAAGTACGCCCTTGCAGCTGCTCGCCCGTCACTTTCGGGTCGCCCAAACCAATGGATTGGCTCAGGCAGATATACAGGCATCGGGTAAGCAACATGTTTTTGCCACCTTGACACTTGACGATGCAGGGTCGCCTCATGAGGTTGCATGTGGGGTGTGGAATGGCAGACTTTTCCCGTCATGCGTTTGGGGCCTATTTTTTGTCCAAAACGTTTTCAGACGTGACTGTGCGGGGACAGGGCGAAGGCCCAGGCTTGCCCGCGCATCGCATCGTGTTGTGTGCCCGCAGTCAGTACTTTCGTGGCATGCTGGACTCGCAGGTATTTCTCGAGGCACGGCAGCCTGAGGTGAGTGACACCACTTGATTCAACGCATAGTGGCCCCTATTTTGTTCATTTTTTAATGCCGCTTGTGTCGAGTGCAGATTGTGCTGCACGACATACCGACGCCCGTGCTCAAGCTCATTCTCAAATACATTTATACGGGAGACATGGCCTTTAACACGGATCAAATTCAAGTATGTTGGCTCGGGTAGATGTTGTTTCGGGGTGTCAAAAGAGTGAAGTGCAGTGCCCAGAAGCATGGGTTCTGTATTCGTATTCTTAGAGTTGGTGTGTTCTTGCGTGTTCATGAACTTGGTTCACAGCTGGCCGTCGATTGCTTGATGGCCTGCCGGGAGTTTCAACTTCCTCAATTTTTCAACGCCATCCAAAAGAAGCTGGTTGGGAGCGTTGACCTTCAGGTCAGTATTTTTTTTTTTTTTTTCGAATGTCAATGTGACGAGCCATGTGTTTGTGCTCATCCAGCTTGTGACATGGGTCAAAAACGATTTGTAGACCTGTATCAGCTTGGTCGAAGCCGCCATTCTGTGCCATGCACCAGTGCTGTTGGCTAGCGCCATGCGCACGTTTTTGGAACACTATGATCAATTGCAAGCTGGTCAAGATCCAGACGGTGCCTTTTTGCAGCAGTTTTTGCTTGGCATTACCGACGAGCACCTAAAAGTCCCTGATACACACCGAGACGAGAACGTCAACGGGTTCTTCGACAGCGGCCATTGAGGCCGTGTATTTGCCTGCTCCGGCCCTGGCCCTGTTTTCCACGTGTATGAGATCTGGCACCCACCCGAACACCCAAAACAGCACAATTGATGTCGCTGGCATTAAACGTCCAGATTCCAGTGCAGGTGGCCAAATTCTGTGCGACTTTGTTTTGTCGATTTTTTTTTCCATTTTTTTTCGATTTTTTTTTCTTTTTTTCTTCTTTCTCTTCTTTCTTTTTCTCTGTGTCTCTTGTGTCTCTCTGTGGCTCTTTGTGTCTTTCTGTTTCTTTCTGGCTTCTTCATGGTCGCAACATCTGGAGCTCTGAATACGCACAATGTTAGCGTCAAATCCGTGCTTCCACGCATTTGAACACTCCCACTGCTTTCGCACACACTCAGCATCGGTCGCTATGGGTCTTCCTATTGGTATTCCATAGCTACGACGACCTCACACATTGACACCTACTTTTGGACCCCCTGGGCTTGATCCTCCTCGTGGCAGTCACATGAGTAAACACCGCGTGTGACGCGGTCCCCACGATGCCTGGGCAGCTGCCCTGGGGCAATAAGCTTGTGGCTACTGTTGTTTCCCTTTGTTGTGACACCTGCGGTCGGGCACGAGTTGCACTTTCCCTATCCTCGGGATTGAGCGACTCTACAGCTATTCTAACGGTGCACCTGGTCTGGTCACTGTGAATGCTTGCCGACCGCAGGTACGTCAAGCCCTCTGCCATTCTGTCTTCCCCTTGCTCTCCTGTGTGCTCTGCTCTCTTGTGACTTTCCCTATCCTCGGGATTGAGCGACTCTACAGCTATTCTAACGGTGCACCTGGTCTGGTCACTGTGAATGCTTGCCGACCGCAGCTGGTTCAATTGACCTCAAGACACCACCAAAGCTTTCGCTCCGCTCCGACGGACGTCTCTCAAACCTCTCTCAAAACGCTTCCTCAAACCTACGCGCTTCCTCGCAACCCAAAGACGGCCTCCAGACGTGCTGGAGCCTGACATGGTAGCGAT